AGGCACAGTACAGTAAGAGAGAAGGAGAGAGAGAGATCTCCCATCTGCCTGTTCACTCTCCAAATAGAAGCAATAACCAGGGCCAGGACGGAGCCAGGAGCCAGGAGCTTCTTCCAGGTCTCCCACCAGGGGTCCAAGCACTTGGGCCGTCCTCTGCTGTTTTCCCAGCTGTGTTAGCAGGGAGCTGGATGGGAAGTGGAGCAGCCGGGACTCGAACCGGTGCCCATGTGGGATGCTGGCGCCATGTCTAGTTTTTGAGGCACCTCCATGCGTGCTTTGCCAGGGTGGCTGTAGCATTCACGTCTGATGCACAGTGCGCGAGGGCACCTTTCTCCCACGCGCAGGCCAATGTGTTGTCTCTTCTCCTGTTGATAAAAACTCCCCCGCAGGTTCGCAGGGGCAGCTCCCTGGGGTTTTGCTTTGCATTTGCCTGACGACTACTGAGGTGCGTTTTCAGCAGAGGCCTCTCGGGTCAGGAGGGAGGGAGGGGTTATACACAGGAGAAACCCTGGCAGCCAGACGTTCCCCACGCAGCAAACGCATCCTTCGACGCGAGAGGACAGCACGGGGGAACGGGACAGAAGAGGGACAAGGCAGGTGGGCGCAGTCGAGATGGCGCCCACACAGCCTTCCCCAGCCACACTCACTTTAAACCTAAGCTTCCGCATGAAAAGGTGCACAGTGACCGAATGAAGTGCAAAACCAAAGCAAACAGGGAAAATAAAAACAAACAGAAGACCAAGATCCACCCGTGTGCGGTCTACAGGAAGCTCATTATAGATCTAAGGGCGATGTAGGGAGGGAAGGTGATATTCCGTGTAGATATCAACCCATAAATAAATCAAAGTGGAGGGACAGTACTTACGTCAGACAAAGTGGGCGTTAGGACGGAAATCGTCTCCAGAGATCCAGCCAGACGTCACCCGGGTGATGATGGGAGGTCGGACGGGAGGATGCTGTAACTAACGAGCAGCCAGCATGGGGCACCCAGGCTGTGATGTTGATGATCTGAAAGGGGGCAGTGACAGCAGGGGATGCCGCACCCTCCCTGGATAATGAGCGGCACAGCAGTGAGGAAGCACGGACTTGGACCACCCCCAGGGCCGGGGACCTTGCTTCTGCAAGGGCCATTTGGATGGCTACATCACTCATGGCCGTACAGAATGACAGCTTAGAAACCAAGCCTCTGTAGCGTCACCGAATTTCGAGTCCCGCCTGCCGTGGCCTTGGCAGGGCCGGACCACATGGTTTCGCAGTCCGAGGTCCAGACGTGAACTAACAGCCACGTACAGAAATTTCCACCCTGCGGCAGCAGGTGCACATAGACCGGTCCCCAGTTCGCCCCCGCGACAGGTTCGGTTTAAGGTGGTCAGTGTCATCTCTGGTGTTTCTGGCCACAGAGCAGGAATAGAAATCAGCAAGGGCATGGAGATGGGAACAGAACTTGTGATCCCTTTATGAGTCGGCCGTGTGGGGGCGTGGTCAGAGCTCACGGCTACTCCAGGTCGGCTCTGTCAGCGGGGGCCACCATGGCGGCTCGCTCACACATCAACAGGCCGCTGGGCCGTCAGTCTCTCTCCATGGAGAGCCTGGCTTTCTACTGAGAGACTGAGAGTCACAGAAAATGCCCCCGGAGAGCGAGGAGGAAACTGTTGCTCTCTGTGACCCAGCCTTGGAAGCCACAGGTCCACCCGCCTCCCAGGGCAGGGAGCCTCCCACCCTGCCCCTCCGCGGGGGGAGTGTCAGAGCCACTTGGCAGGGCTGGCGTCGGCATTGCTGATCACCTGCAGAGAGGGACGTTCACGGGGCTTGTCCTGTCCCACCAGCAGGACGCCTCGCGGCTCGCGCCTCCTTGTCCAGTGCACACAGTGAGGCACCGAGCCCCAAACCGGAGCAGTGTCCTGGCTGCAGACCCCGCCTGGGCGCTGCCCTGGGCCCGCAGAACAGTCCCTGAGGTTGTTTTTGTTTTACAAATGAGGTGCTGAGTGCTGGGAGGAAAAGTCAGTTTTCCTCCTGGAACCTCCTCAAGCTGGGGTTGAACTTTTATCTCCTGGTTGCTTCGCTGGTGCTGTTTCTCTTCATGTGAGACTTTCTTGATTATTTTTCATGTTTTATTTCAGAGATGGAGGGACCATCAGGTTAAATCACCTCTTGTGACACGAGCATCCCACGTCAGAGTGCGAGTTCGAGTCCCAGCAGCTCCACTTCAGTGCAGCTTTTCAGGCTGGGAAAGCAGTGGGAGGTGGCCCGGCATTTGTGCCCCTGCCTCCCACGAGGGAGACCAGGGTGGGGCTTCTGGCTCTTGGTTTAGGCCTCCCCTAGATCTGGCTGTTGTGGCCATTTGGGGAGTGAAACAGCAGGTGGAACATTCTCTCTCTCTCTCTCTCTGTCTCTGTCTCTCTCTCCCTACCTCCCTCCCTTTCACTCTTTCAACTAAATAAGTTAGAATAAATCTAATAAATAAAGACAGAGAGAGAGAGAGAATGTTCCATCTGCTGTTTCACTCCCCAGATGCCGGCAACAACCAGGACCGGCTGAAGCCAGGACCCAGGAGCTCAATGCAGGTCTCCCCGTGGGTGGCCGGAGCCTCAGGGTGTGCATCGGCAGGACGCTGGAAGTGGAGCAGCGCCAGTACGCAAGCCCAGGCTCTCTGACGTGGGACGAAGCTGCTCTGAGCACCACCCTAGCCACTACCTACACCACGGCCTGCCCTGCGGTGATTTAGCTGGCCCGTGTGTTTGTGTTTACAGGCATGCACCTGGGGTATGTGTGTGCGTGGTCACGTGCCCCTGCGTGTGGCAGACTCGGGCTTGCCTTTGTGGGCTGGGAGGTCGCAGCACGGGGGCTTCCAGCTGCAGAAGCAGCTCCAGGAACCGGAAGTGGAGGGCAGAGTTCCAGGGACCGTCAGAGCTTTTACAAAGCAGGCGGCTCCTCCCGGGAGGCTTAGCCTTTCTCCTGGCCGAGGGGCAGGTGCTGTGGTCGGGGCCACAGCTTTGCCGTTGGGGTGGGGGTTGAACCAGCACAATCCCAAAGCCGAGGCTCGGCGTGGGCTCCCCGTCTGAGAGGTCACCCCCGTCTCAGAGCCGCTGCCATCTTTCGGTGTCGGCTGAGTGGCAGCTGGTCCCCAGGGGAGACAGACGTGGAACACGCAGCTGCGGCCGGGGTGAACAGACGGGGACAAAGGACGCGGACGCTAGGCTTGCCGCAGGGGCCTAGCCTGTCGAGGGACCCGGCGGCGTGGTTTTGATTTCTCGGTGAAGGATGGGTGCGTGTGCACTGGGTGGAGGCCCTGGGCGCTGCTTGTTTGGGGCAGCAGTGCTGAGATGGGAAGCTGGGAGGCCAGCCCGAGGGACGGCGGGCACCAGAGAGCCAGGGCCGCAGAGAGGAGCCGCCCGCCACAGGTAGCTTTAGGTCCCAGTCCCTTCGTCCGTGCCCCCAGCCCCCCGCCCATCCTCATCGCACCCCAGGGCCCTGACGTCAGCATCTCTTACCTGTGAGATGGGAGAGGCACTGTAAGAGGGAGACCAGAGCCCAAAGGTTATGCACTGCTGCGTGTGTGTGCACTGCTGTGTGTGAGTTTATGTGTGTGTGAGTGTGCGTGTGTATGTGTGTGCACATGTGTATGTACGTGTGTGTGCGGGCGTACACATGTGTGCGTGCACACGTGTGTGCACGTGTGCACATGTATGTGTGTATGTGTATATGTGCGTGCGGGTGTATACGTGTGTGCGTGCACACACGTGTGTGTGCGTGTGTGTATGTGTGCACGTGTGTGCGTATGTGTATGTGTACGTGTGTGCAGGTGTGTACGTGCACGTGTGTGTGCGAGTGCATGTGTGTGTATGCACTGCTGCGTGTGTGAGTGTACGTGTGTGTATGTGTGTGCACATGTGTGCATATGTGTATGTGTGTGCGGGTGTATATGTGTGTGCGTGCACACATGTGTGCATGTGTGTGTACACACATGTGTGTATGTGTGTGTACACACATGTGTGTATGTGTGCGTGTGTGTGTGTGTTTGCAGTCAGCTGCAAGGCCTCCGTCCGGCCATGTCAGGGAAGCACTTCAAGGTCAAGTTCGAGGGGTTTGCTGAGGAAGCCGGCTGGGTGCTTTCCTCTGTCCCCGGTCCTAGCAAGGCCTCCCCTCGTCTCGCCTGGGACGTGTGGGCGGCCCCCGCAGCCCCACTCTTGCTGTCTTGGTTAAGGTGGCAAACACAGCACCAGTGTTGTGTACCAAGGCCTCCTGGACATTTGGCGCCCTCTTTGCCCCCAGAAGTGTCCAGAAGAACATGGGAGTTCCCTGGTTTTGCCCAAGACCCGCGTGGTTTCCCCCATAATCGAGGAAGGGAATGTTGGCTGGGACTCTAGTCTTCTGGAAATGTGGCAGAGGGATATGACTTTCCATAGGCAGAATTACTCCGTCTGGTGGAGGCGAGACTGGCCGTTGGCCGGCAGGGCTGCTGGAGTCCGCGCTGGCGCCCCGAGCTGCCTGGACGTCCTGTGTGGGACGGGATGGAGCACCTGGAGCAGGATCACCTGGAACGGGGCTGGTGGGTGGGGCATCTCACCAGCAGGGGCTGGTTTAACGCCGAGTGCATTACAGCAGAGATGGCAATGACTCTCCTCCAGCGCGCACTCCGGCGATCAAAGCCATCCCGCAACCGAGAGACGTCTCGGGCCGCTGGATCCCAGGGAGCCGTGGGCCCGCGGAGAGGCCAGCCGGCCCCCCAGGAGCCCAGAGAGAAGAAGGCTGCGGCCCCTTCTGCGTAGCTGCTCCTGCTTCCCTGGGCAGCCGGCGCCGCAGCACTCACTGGGAGCTCTCCGGATGGATGTGGGCTCTGGCTGGCACGGCAGGCAGTGGGCCCAGCCCTGGGTGGGGCTGTGGCTGTGGGGCCGTCTGGGCAGAGAACGGGCCATGTGTCCCTGCTGGGGGCTGCTGCTCCTCAGGAAACAAGAGCCCATGGCCTGCTGGGGTGTCGCCCTTGGCCTCGTGGCCTGCGACTCTTCCCTGTTCCAGTTGGGACTGGAAATCCCGTAGGTCCCCTATCTCAGACACAGATCTTCGGGGCTAAACGGCCTAACTGGAATCTACTCAGGGTTTGCTCAGTCGCGCTGATGGGTGATGTACACTTGAGAGCGTCTCAGGCCGGAAGGGGCACCCACCAGGCACGAGTCTGGAAACACGGCGCCTGTAGAAGCCCTGCAGTACACTCCAAGATGAGCCTGACGGCCGTCCACCCAGAAAGGCCAGCTCGGTGGAGCCCAGCTCTGAGGAGCCCTCGCTGTGCTGGGGGGGCCCTCGCCGTGCCGGGGAGCCCTCGCCGTGCCGGGGGGCCCTCGCCGTGCCGGGGGGCCCTCGCCGTGCCGGGGGGCCCTCGCTGTGCCGGGGAGCCCTCGCTGTGCCGGGGGGCCCTCGCTGTGCCGGGGAGCTGGCTTCTCAGAGTGGGGCCCGGGGGGGGGGGGCAGCGCGCCTTGGTTTGCAAGGAGGGAGGGCTTGTTGTTTGCTCCTTTGCCATCAAAGCCTCGTCCAACCCTCCTCTTGTCTCTCTCCCTCAGACTGTGTTTGAGAGAAATTGCCGCTCTGAGGAGTGCGCCGCCGACCTGCAGCTGCGGGGCAAGCTGCTGCTGTCCAGGTACGTGCCGTGCCCTTCCCCACGCCCCCGGCAAAGCTGCCTCGTCTTGACACCAGGCCCCGCCCTGAGAGCGGAGCCCCCACGGACGAGAGCCCGCGGCGCCGGTGGTGGCGATGATGACGGCTATGATGTCTGTGGTTGACAACACGGCTCCGGCAGAGTGATGTAGCAACGGCGGTCACTTGGGTGGCATCGCTTGGGTTTTGGCTTCGTTTGCAGTTCCACGGTCGCGCCACGTAGCTGGGGTTTCCAGGTTGTGTGAGTGCTGGTGTGTGAAATTGTCAGTGTCTGGCCTTTGGGGACAATTGCCTAAGACCTCCCCCTCGCCGCCTCTGCACCATGGTACCTGCTCCAACAAGTCTGTGTGTGTGTGTGTGTGTGTGTGTGTGTGTGTGAGAGAGAGAGAGAGAGAGAGAGAGCGCGCGAGCGAGCACGGGAGGCCAGGGCGGAGCGGGCCGTCCCGAGCCTGGTGAACAGACGGCCACTCTATTATTTCAGGGCTTCCTGCCTGGCCCGCAGCTGCCCCGGGCGAGCGGTGAGCTGTGCAGGCCCCGCCGTTTCCTCCGTGTCAACCTTGATCTCAGCCCGCTGGGGCGGAGGCCGTCGGCTGGCCCTGACTAGCGTTGCACGTGGCGGAGAGCCTTTCTGAACGATTGTTGTAGCCTCGGGCCAGAAACCCTCCTGTGGCTCCATTACCGTTTCTCAAGACAGTCATCAGGTTGCATGCTGTTCTACAAAGTGCCATCGTGTCTGTGACCTGTAACTGTGAGAGAGCCGCGTCCTTGGGAAGGCAGGAGGCCCTCGTGGTGAGCCTTGGGCGACACTAGGCCATGGCTCCTTGGGATGAGCCAGTGCGGAGTAGCACCAAGATGCCTTGTCCTCTGTTCGAGTTTACTGCGGGAAGGAGACATCCCTTGTCTGTCTGTCTCTCTCTCTCTCTCTCTCTCTCTCACGCAGACACACACACACACACACACACACACACACACACACACATGCCGTCCAACCGCTCAGATACTAATTAGCATCACTTTTCCTCTGGGAAAGAATGGTGGGCTAAAGTAGCCCATGTCTTGTTGAACTTACAAAATTACTTAAAACTCTTGGAGAGGGTATTGGACTTATTAAGAAGGGCCTCCTGGGCGTATGAAAGAAACCATTTTTAAGGCAGCTTCATAAATTATCAGAGTGTTGCTTATTTTAACTAGGTCTTTCAAAATGTGTTGGAGGGAAAAAGCAACAAAAAGCAAAACTACATGGATGTGTTTTGTCCTGAGGCAGACTTTAAGTCCTGGGAACTTATCTTGGGCTGCAGAAAGCTTCGTGCCGTGGGAAGATGTTGGCTTGGTCCAAGGTTAAATATTAAGTCGGGAACGTCCTGGTGTCTTGCTAGCCATTAGCAGCTGGCTGCTTCTGTTGAATTGTGCTCCGTGTATATTAAGATGTAAAATTCAAAGCTCACGGCCCGTAAGGTCCCTCAGGCTAACGCCGTCTCCACTGCCCCGGTCTGGCCTCTTGACAGTGTGGGCAGCACCGGTTCTGCTGTGTGGGCCGGTGGTCAGTGGTGCTAGAACAGCCAGTGTGGTGGCCAAGGGCAGACCCCGTCCGTACCAGCTCGCTATTGCCACCAAAATGGGCAAAGGCCCCGAACAGACAGCCCTCAGAAGAAAAAGAGATGCCCGACAAATACGGGAGAAAACGCTCAGGGTCGCTAGCCATCAGGAAAACGCAACCCACATCACAACGCGAGCCCCTCTCCCCTGCTGGGACGCTATCAGAGAGGCAAAGAACAGGTGCTAGTGAGGAAGCGGAGCGAAGGGAACTCTGATTCTAAGACTGATTGATTGATTTGGAAGTCAGGGTTACAGAGCGAGAAAGAGGCCTTCCATCCGCTGGTTCACTCCCCAGCCGGCCACAATGGCCGGGGCTGGGCCGGGCTAAAGTCAGGAGCCAAGAGCTTCTTCCAGGTCTCCCACTTGGGTGGCAGGGGCTCCCGCACCTGGGCCATCTTCTGTTGCTTTTCCCAGGCCATTAGCAGGGAGCTTGATTGGAGGTGGAGCAGCTGGGACATGTGTCACAGGTGATGGCTCTACCCACTATGCCATAACACTGGCCCCAAAGAGAGCTCTTAGACACTGTTGGTGGGATGTGAATTGGTATAGCCACTAGGGAAAACGGTATGGAGATATTGAAAAACTGGAAATAGAGCTGCCGTGTGATCCGGAAACCCTACTACTGGGTGTACATCCAAAAGATATTAGATCTCTGTTTCAAAGACATAGCTATTTTCCCACGTTGAATACAGCACTGTTCTTTTCTTTCTTTCTTTTCTTTTCTTTTTTTTTTACAGGCAGAGTGGACAGTGAGAGAGAGAGAGAGACAGAGAGAAAGGTCTTCCTTTGCTGTTGGTTCACCCTCCAATGGCCACCGCGGCCGGCGCACCGCGCTGATCTGATGGCAGGAGCCAGGTGCTTCTCCTGGTCTCCCATGGGGTGCAGGGCCCAAGCACTTGGGCCATCCTCCACTGCACTCCCTGGCCACAGCAGAGAGCTGGCCTGGAAGAGGGGTAACCAGGACAGAGTCGGGCTCCCCGACCGGGACTAGAACCCAGTGTGCCGGCGCCGCAAGGCGGAGGATTAGCCTAGTGAGCCGCGGCGCCGGCCAGCACTGTTCTTAAAAGCCAAGACAGAGACTCGACCCGGGGGTCCATCATCAGGTGACTAAGGGAAACATGACACACAGTACTGTTCAGTCATAAAGGAATAAAACCCTGTCACTCGCAGGAGAGTGGGTGGAACAGGAAGCCATCATGTTTCCATGTTTAGTGAAATAAGCCATACACAGAAAGACAGATGCCACATGGTCTGTCTCACAAGTGGAGGCTAAAAACCCCCGAAACTCTGAACCCAGAATGGTGATCCTAGAGGCTGGGAGTGCTAGGGGTTCAGGGAGTTTAGGTAGTAGACAGCAACTCAGAGTTAGACCTGACTAGGCTTTGTAGTCCTGCCTTCCTGGAGCTCACACACGAGACTGGAGCCTAGGGGCGGAGGCGTCTGACCCTCAGAGGTGGTGTCCTTGGCTCAAAGCTCAGGGCCCCTCCTTAGGGTTAGTCGTTTCCCAAGAGGACCCCTCGTGTCTCAGCAGCCTTTTGGTTGGAGGTTTGAAAGAACCTTCATTGTAACCTGGGGCCCGTAGCTGTCCCCCGGGAGCCATCGGGGGCCGTGCAGCTGACCGCTGGTGAGAGGAGGTGGCGGCGAAACCCCGACTGTAGTCGTGCTGGGTTTCTCTAGACCTTTGCCGGGTCCCTCCGCAGAGCCAGGTGCAGGGTGCGGAAGGGGGCGTGGCCTGTCGCCTGAGCGTGGAGTCCCGGCTCTGCGTCTGGCTGCCTGAGGCTCAGGGACTTGGACAGAGGGGAGCTGCTTGGTCGCCACTGAACTCTGGATTATTCGTGCCTGCTTGGGTGGTACGTTCCTCCGTAGTTGGGCCCAGGCAAGTCCTGGTGGGCACTGGGCTACAGAGTGAGCCAGAGGAGGCCCTGCGCCCCTGGGGTGCGGTTTGTGGGGGAGCAGCTGAGAGGTGGTGGTGCCACCTGGTAAGGCTGCAAGAGAGGCGCGTGGGCTGCGGCAGGCTGTGCAGGGCAGCTTCCAGGGCGGGAGGACTCGGGCACTGTGCGTGGAGGGGGAGCAGAGCAGGCGTGGGGGGGGGGCTCCATGAAGAACCGAGGCGTCTGAGTGAAGGGGGCGTCAGGAGATAGAGGGAGGCACTGGAGCGTGGCACACACCCGGGAGTCGGGACCTCGTCTTGCAGCCAGTGGCCCCCAGCAGAGGTGCCCTCGACCTGCTCCGTGCAGCTGGGCGTGCTCAAGGAGCGCTTGGAGACGGTGTGGGCCGTGACCTCTGCCGCACCGACCCAGCAGGTCCTGGCTAGAACCTGAGCCTGTCTCCCCCGCTCAGTTCCCCTGCCCTGGCCATGGCCGCTGTCTCAGGGCAGGAGCAGCCTTGGCGGGGTTGGGCCCAAGAGTGACACCAGAGACGCCGTGGCAGCCTCCTGCAGGGGCCGCCCAGAGGACTTCACAAGGGCCGTGTGAACGCCATGCTTCCTGTTCCCTCTGGAGCCCAGCTCTCACGTTATCTCCGGCTGCAGCTGAGGGAAAGCCTGCGGAAACAGTGGGCACGAAGGTGACCGGGGGCAGCCGAACACCCGGCAGACCGGGGAGCTTCCGTCTCATCAAGACAGAGGGACGGCCATCTGGGAGTCACTGGGTCACTCACAGGGACCAGGGGTCAAGCCAGGAAGTGCTATTTGTGGCCAGGACTCAAGGATGTTTTTATTTTTTCTCTCCAGAGAGTGTGAATTCTGGAAGACCTGCTGTCTCTTAGAGCAGTCAGCTCTTCCTTAGAAACCATGATCTCTAGTGGGCTGCAGCCTCGTTCAGAAGCACACCATTTCCAGAGGTCCAGGAGCTGGATGACGCTCTCTGCACTCTGTTAAACAGGGCTGAAAAGTCCATTTGTAGAAGAACGCAGCTCTGTTCTGTCTGTCTGCATACTCAGAGTACCTAAGAAAACACCACACGTGGTTAAGATAAGGAAAAAGAGCATAGAGCATCTGGTAGTCACGTGTGATTGTTCTCTGGTTGTAGTCGTGGTAAAGCTGTTCTCACCGGGGTGGGGAGTGAGTAGAATGCGTTTTCTACAGCCAGGCGTCTGGGCAGCGGGGAGCTCCATGCACGGAGGACTCCCTTGCAGAGGTGGTCATCACGCCTGGAGGGCTGTCGAGTTTGGAACAAATTGTCCCCCTGCTCAGAAGCGTCCGAGTGGTCAGAGTCGGCAAGTGCGCAGCACAGGTAGAAGGGAAGGTTGTCTTGTCTAGGAGGGGAAGGGCCCATGGGTGCTGCGCACCTGCCATGCGCTGGGTACCCTGAGCGCGTGGTGTGCACAGTGGCCAGCAGCGTCTTAGCTGCTCCACCTGGGGCCAGCTGCACAACACCTCTGTGCTGTGTTCGCTTCTTTGAAAATGAGGAGAAATTGTTACAGACCCTCGTAAGGAGATGTTAAATGTTTGATGAGTTAATTCATGGCTAAGTGCTTCTAGGAGTGCTTGGCGTATACTAAGCTCCACTGTTCCTTGAGTCCTCTCAGCCGTGCCGAGCGGTCACTGTTACCTGCTCTTGTAGTGAGGAAGGTAGGGAGTGTAGGGCGGCTGGGCTGTCTGCTCAGGCACTCCTGCTGTGGGGCAGCGTGAAAGCTGGGAATGGCTGGTTCTCCATCCTGCTCTCTGCCCAAACTTTGGCATCGGATGCTCCCGGGTCAGATGTCAGCTGGCTCTGGACCAGCAGTGCCAAGTCAGGGGACCTTCAGGACAAAACCAGCGGTGTGAAAGCCCCAGTTCTGAACCCGACTCGGGCTTTTATACCCAACTGTCTTGACAACTAACCTGCCAAGGGCCTCCCACTGGACCCTCCTCCTAAACACTGTAATTGGGTTAAGTATCTCTTACTACCTTCACCTATGGCCTTCGGTTTAAGTGTCTGCAAGAGTTCAGGTCAAACTCCCAGCCTCCCCAGGTGCTGCCTGAGCTGCAGGCCTGTTCACTGCTTCTCCCTCCACAGACGCAGGCTCCTGTTCTGCTGAGCGAGCGGCAGTCCCCACACTGAGTCAGCACATCTTTAACGAGTGTAGGTGGGGTTTTCTCCCCCGGGAGAGCCCCCCATTTGACTGAGTGTGGCTGGCCTATCAGCAGGTTACTCAAAGTAAAATCACTATTACTGTTGTTTTATGAGAGGCGGCGAGTGGGAGCCAGGCGGGAACCTGGGAAGCTTTTGCCAGAACATGAACCATGCGATTTACTATTTTTTTTCTTTTTTACTGTCTGCGTCAGCTCTTAAAAATATGCAAAAGGGCTGGCGCTGCGGCTCACTAGGCTAATCCTCCGCCTGCGGCACACCCGGTTCTAGTCCCGGTCGGGGCACCGGATTCTGTCCCGGTTGCCCCCCTTCCAGGCCAGCTCTCTGCTGTGGCCCGGGAGGGCAGTGGAGGATGGCCCAAGTGCTTGGGCCCTGCACCCCATGGGAGACCAGGAAAAGCACCTGGCTCCTGGCTTCAGATCAGCGCAGTGTGCCGGCTGTAGCAGCCATTTGGTGGGTGAACCAACGGAAGGAAGACCTTTCTCTCTCTGTCTCTCTCTCTCACTGTCCACTCTGCCTGTCAAAAAAATATGCAAAAGAAGTTTGCTGGTTGGGAGCAGCTGGCCTTTGTGGCCACTGTTTCTGGAATCTCTGGGCCCAGGACTGGTTTTCTCAGTGGCTCATTTTTCAGAGAAAGGCAAGATGCTCCATGGCTGGAACTTTGTGGAGTGAGCTCCTCTCTCAGAACAAGTGTTTGCCACTGCTCTGACGTGGGTTCTCTAAGGGGAGGTGCCGGGGGCCTTTGCCCGCATTTCAGGAGTGAAGGAGGATGGGTCTTCTGCAGGCGTCACCTAACAGAGGAAGAGACAGAGAGAGAGGAGGTCTTCCCTCTGCTGGTTCACTCCCCAGGTGGCTGCAGCAGCCGAAACTGGGCCATGCTGCAGCCAGGAGCCAGGAGCTTCTTCCGGGTCTCCTACGTGGGTGCAGGGGCCCAAGCACTCGGGCCTTCTTCTGCCACTTTCCCAGGTGCATTAGCAGGGAGCTGGGTTGGAAGTGGAGCAGCCGGGGCTCAAACCAGCACCATATGGGTTGCCTGTAGCACTGCTTTAGTCAGCTGGGTGCGCCGGCCCCTTTCGGGTGTCTGTACGGTGGAGGCCCCACAGCCGGGTCCCCGCCTCACCACAGCAGGGGACGTCTGGTGATCTTCTTCCGGGTGTGGAAGATGGGGCTGGCGTCCTGAGCTGGCGGGGGGGAAGTCCTTGTGTATGGCCCTGCTCGGCCCCCTCCCGCTCTGTCAGATGTGCAGGGGACTGAGGTCCCCTTGGTGCCGAGGGCTGAGCCAGCCATGTGCCCGCCCCGCAGCCTGCCCGTCCCCGTCACTCAGCTACCATGGCGCCGGGGTGTCAGCCCGGGGCCCAGACCCCTGGGGACAGGAGAACAGCCACATCTTTACTCTCACCGACTTCAACTGAAACGGAGCATTTTGTCCAGCTATGGGTGTAGGCAACAGAGCAGCCGCGGTAGCGGTACCTGTGCTGTCACAAATGGAAACCACTGGCACTCCCGAGTCACGTTAGAATAATTGCAGATATTTCACACTGTCATCTACAGAGTCACGGCTGTAATTAGATTCCCCACCAGATCTCACTCTTTGATAGGTTATTAAAAATGACAGGTTGCCACACCACACATCTGTCTGATGTAATGATCACTGTGCTTTTGTATCATTAATTTCTTTGTCATCCCGGTGTTCATTTTCTGCATTGTTTGGAGAAAGGGTTTATTTGTTTCCCTGTGCTGTCAAGGGTGTCTGGTGGCAGAGAAACTGGTTAAGGGGCCGGCATTACGGCACAGCGGGTTAGACCCCCCAACCCTGTGGCACCAGCGTCCCATATTGGAGTGCCGTGCGAGTGCACTTCCAATCCAGCTTCCTGCCAATGCACTAGGGAAGCAGCAGAGGGTGGACTTGGGCCCCTGCTACTGCGCGGGAGACCCGGATAGAGTTCCGGGCGCCTGTCTTTGGCCTGGCCCATCCCCCACATTGTAGCCAGTTGGGGAGCGAAACAGTGGGTGGAAGGTTTCTCTCTCCCTTTCTCTGTCTGTCTGTCTGTCTCTCTCTCTCGCTCTGCCTTTCAAATAAATAAGTAAGTCTTAAAAAAAAAAAAAAAACAAAAAACAAAACAGGTTAAAACCCTGCGTTCTAACAGTGTTCCTGGATATGTGAGAGAATGTGCCTGCTGGGCTGATGCCCAGAACTGGGCTCCCCTGTAGGCTGCTGTCCTTGTCCTGGCCAGAACCATCTGGCCCTGGAAGCCCTGGAGGCCATGTTTCCCTGTCTGGGTGCCTCCTGATGTCTGGGGTAGTGCCAATCGGGAAGCACACGTTCTCGCCGCCTCTGTGAGACCCACTTCACAGCTCTGAGAGCTCGGGAACCCAGAGCTGCGCCCAGAGCAGGGCCAGCCGGCGTGGGGGTGGCCGTGGGCGAGTCGGACTGGCCTTGAGAGGGTTTCAGGGGCTGTATCTGGCCAGAGGTGCAGAACCCAGGAGGCACCAGTTGCCAGTCTCCCTGCCCTGCCCAGTCCCGAAGGTACAGCCTCAGTGTGTTTTCCTGACCGTCCACACCCTGTGCTTTGTTCCTGGGCGAGCCAGAAGCAGGGAAACCTCACAGCCATGGCAGCCTGACCTATCACGGGCCCACCCTGGCGCTCGTGGTGGCTGCCAGCTCCTGGGGCGCAGGTCGGCGTCCTGCTGCTGGTGGCAAAGAGCCTAGGTGGGGCCGTGGGAGCAGTACTCGGGGTGGCTGCCCCCTCCCGGGGCGCGCAGGTCGGCGTCCTGCTGCCGGTGGCAAAGAGCCTAGGTATGGCCGTGGGAGCAGCGCTTGGGGTGGCTGCCCCCTCCCGGCACGCGCAGGTCGGCGTCCTGCTGCCGATGGCAAGTAGCCTAGGTACGGCCGTGGGAGCAGCGCTCGGGGTGGCTGCCCCCTCCCGGCGTGCGCAGGTCAGCGTCCTGCTGCTGGTGGCATGGAGCCCAGGTGGGGCAGCGGGAGCGGTGCCCAGCGGCCGGGTCACTCCTGTCAAATGACACCAGGCCTGCCATGGCCCACGGGTCGTGGGATTTCCTCTGCCTCCCAAAGCGTTCTTTGTCCTTAATCCCGGCATTACTGCGGATGAGCCTGATTTCTTCCAGATGTCCTGAACACTGAGGACTCTGGAGGCAGGGCTGATGGGATGTGCATTCCTCCCTGGGCTGGGGACCAGCGCTCCTTCTCACAGCCACACGCAGGGGCCGGCGGCACCCTCTGGCTTGCCGCGTTGGCCCCCAGCGATTCTGACCCCGAGGAGCTGTTGAGTGACCCGGAGCTGGGGCCGGGCCGGGTCCGCAGGGGTGAGGCAGCACATGGTCGCCTCAGTTCTCTGAATACCGCAGGGAGCCCCCTGTTCGGTTCAGAGCGCCTCAGCCAGCGCCGCTCCTGCAGCACCGACACGAGTGGAGGGAGAGGATTTCTGGCGTCACAGGAGTGGGTTTTCAAGCCAGAAGCTCAGCCGCAGGACCCGCTTCCCTGCCGCCCGTGGGCTGGCGCTGAGGACCCCTGCAGAGGCCCTGGGACCCCTCGCTGTAGGAACCGCGTGGGTCTGCGTGCAGGCTGAGGGAGGCTGTAGCGTGCTGACACAGGAGGTCTGCAGCAGGCTGAGGGAGGCTGTAGCGTGGTGACACGGGAGGTCTGCGTGCAGGCTGAGGGAGGCTGTAGCGTGGTGACACGGGAGGTCTGCAGCAGGCTGAGGGAGGCTGTAGCGTGGTGACACGGGAGGTCTGCGTGCAGGCTGAGGGAGGCTGTAGCGTGGTGACACGGGAGGTCTGCGTGCAGGCTGAGGGAGGCTGTAGCGTGGTGACACGGGAGGTCTGCGTGCAGGCTGAGGGAGGCTGTAGCGTGGTGACACGGGAGGTCTGTGTGCAGGCTGAGGGAGGCTGTAGCGTGGTGACACGGGAGGTCTGTGTGCAGGCTGAGGGAGGCTGTAGCGAGGTGACACGGGAGGTCTGCGTGCAGGCTGAGGGAGGCTGTAGCATGGTGACACGGGAGGTCTGCAGCAGGCTGAGGGAGGCTGTAGCGTGGTGACACGGGAGGTCTGCGTGCAGGCTGAGGGAGGCTGTAGCGTGGTGACACGGGAGGTCTGCGTGCAGGCTGAGGGAGGCTGTAGCGTGGTGACACGGGAGGTCTGCAGCAGGCTGAGGGAGGCTGTAGCGTGGTGACACGGGAGGTCTGCGTGCAGGCTGAGGGAGGCTGTAGTGTGGTGACACGGGAGGTCTGCGTGCAGGCTGAGGGAGGCTGTAGCGTGGTGACACGGGAGGTCTGTGTGCAGGCTGAGGGAGGCTGTAGCGTGGTGACACGGGAGGCCTGTGTGCAGGCTGAGGGAGGCTGTAGCGTGGTGACACGGGAGGCCTGTGTGCAGGCTGAGGGAGGCTGTAGTGTGGTGACACGGGAGGTCTGCGTGCAGGCTGAGGGAGGCTGTAGCGTGGTGATACGGGAGGTCTGCAGCAGGCTGAGGGAGGCTGTAGCGTGGTGACACGGGAGGTCTGCGTGCAGGCTGAGGGAGGCTGTAGCGTGGTGACACGGGAGGTCTGTGTGCAGGCTGAGGGAGGCTGTAGCGTGGTGACACGGGAGGTCTGCGTGCAGGCTGAGGGAGGCTGTAGCGTGGTGACACGGGAGGTCTGTGTGCAGGCTGAGGGAGGCTGTAGTGTGGTGACACGGGAGGTCTGTGTGCAGGCTGAGGGAGGCTGTAGTGTGGTGACACGGGAGGCCTGCAGCAGGCTGAGGGAGGCTGTAGCGTGGTGACACGGGAGGTCTGTGTGCAGGCTGAGGGAGGCTGTAGCGTGGTGACACGGGAGGTCTGTGTGCAGGCTGAGGGAGGCTGTAGCGTGGTGACACGGGAGGCACATCTTGAACTCTGGCACAGTGACTCCCTGCTGGAGAGGGCAGACCTGCAGCTGCTTGTGTTGAGCGCCCTGTGTTTACTGGCGGCCTGATTGGTTTTGTTGCATTTGAGGATGTAAGCGATATACATGGTTCTTTTTAAAGATTTACTTATTTTATTTACTTGAAAGAGTTCCAGAGAGGGAGATACACACACAGAGAGAGAGAGAGAGAGAGAGAGAGAGAGAGAGATGTTCCATCCACTGGTTCACTTCCCCACATGGCCTCCATGGCCAGGGATGGCCTCCATGGCCAGGGATGGCCAGGCTGAAGCTGGGAGCCAGGAGCTCCTTCTGGGTCTCCCACGTAGGTGCAGGGGCCCAAGGACTTGGACCACCCTCTGCTGCTGTCCCTGCTGCGTTAGCAGGGAGCTGGGTCAGAACTGGTGCAGCTGGGACTTGAACCAGTGCCCATGTGGGACCTGGTGCTTTAACCCACTGCGCCACAAAGCTAGCCCCAAGCAACATAAACATTACAGCTGCATTAGTGCCCCTTATTCCTGGGCACTCGGTGCCCAGTGGGTGCCTGAAGCAGGGTGGAGCTAAACTCTTGTGGCCGGCAGTGTGGCTCAGTGAGTCACCCCAGCGCTAGTTCAACGCTGCCCCTCTTCTGATGCAGCTCCCCGCTAGTGCACCTGGGAAGGGAGTGGAAGATGGGCCAAGCAGCTGGGCCCTGCCACCCAAGTGGGAGACTCAGACGGAGTTCCTAGCTCCAGGCTTTGGGCTGCGTCAGCCTTTGCCGTTGTGGCCATTTGGGGAGTGAACCAGTGGGTGGGAGACCTCTCTCCGTCTCTCTCTATTGTTCTATATTTCAAATAGATAAATCAAAACAAGAACCAAATCCTACATGTGTACGTTTCTTCCTCTACCTTGCGTGCCTATGATCAAATTTAACCTGAACTGGGCTCAGGAAGAGGTGAACAGTAATGACGAGCAGCAGAGTGAGACAGTCATAGGAATGTCCTGGAATAGAATCGCCGGTGCTGCTCTCTTTGGCTTTGGGGCCAGGACTCAGGAAAACCAGGGTTACTTGAAGGCAAGCGCTGCGAGGCAGCTAAGGGACTGACGGGGGCAGGGCCCACGGTGTTGTACACTGGACGGAGACTGGACCAGGGTGGCACGCGAGATTCCGTTGTGCTGTGCAGACGGCGTCCCACTTCAAACTCGTTTATTTCTGGGGTTGCCCCTTTAATACTTGGGTCCCTGAAACTGTGAGAAGAGAGACCCTATTAAAGTTAGGGAATGAAAACGAAGAGCAGAAATGAATGAATGGAGACCGTTACTCTTTATGTCTTCTTCAAATGAGTTTGAATGCAGAAAGATGCCCACACAGGTGCTGGGGTGGGGTGGGCCTGGTCCCAGCTCGGGGAGGACATCAGCTGGAGCTGCTGCAGGTCCCGAGTACCCAGGAGAGAACGGAGGGGCCGGGGCAGGGCAGCGCGGCCTGTCTGAGAAGCAGGCTGGTCAGGTGTGGCGCTGAGCTTCAAACACAGAGAAGGAGAGCATCTTGAGCTGGCCGGGCTAGGGGTCAGCAGAAGGCTGGAGCGGGCGGCCCAGGGCGGAGGCTGTGTTGTGTGAGGGGAGCTCGGAGGGGCAGCCCTGGTTCCCCGCGTCTGCGGGCATGCCCGCCCCGCCACCATCACGTGCATCCCACAAGGCCGCTGACCAGGGGACGAGTGCGTGTCAGGTTGTGGTGGGACGCTGAGTGTCTGGGAGGGAACGCACGCGTGCTGTGTGCCTGTTCTTTCCTGACATCTCACAGCATGCACCAGGACGTTCACAAGCCACCGACTGTTGGAAGCTCGGTGTTGTCAGTCTGATGTTTAACTGCCCAGTCTTACTGCAGTGTCTTTTCCCTAGACCACCGCCTCACATGCAGTTTCGATAGCACGGTTAAGTACATCCATCGAAGGTCTGTCACAGACCAGCCGTATCATACTGTCAAAAGTCAAACACATAGAATCCCTTGAGTATCTAGATTCCCAACTGCTAAAAATGCAATGCGAGCCGTGTGTGCAATTTTGAAGTTTGTAGTAGCCACATTGAAAAGTAAAGTGAAACTGTTGAAATAGGCTGTACTTAATCCTGTACACCCAAAATATGATTGTGAGCGACAGTAAAGCAATCACTGCTCATGTTGTGTGTGTGTGTGTGTGTGTGTGTGTGAAATCGAGATCAGCCACAAAGTGCTGAGCGTAGGCCTAGAACTTGGACTTTGGAGCCAGCTCACGCGCTGGGTGGGCACAGGAGCTGGGGTCTTTCTGCACCCGTTCCTGTCCGTCTTGGTTGAGGAATGCTGCCAGGTGTGAGGGGTTTGTTCCCGTGTTTTTTGTTTTTTTTTGCAGTAGTAGCCGTCCTCGTGGTAATGAACTGGGGAATGATCGTTCTCAGAAAGTTGTGAGCGAGGGCCAGTGTTGGCGCAGTGAGCTAGGCTGCCGTCTGATGCTGCGTCCCATACTGGAGCACTGGTTTGAACCTGCCCGCTCCACTTCCAGTCCCGCTTCCTGCTCGTGCTCCTGGGAAGGCAGCAGAAGGTGCCCAAGTCCTTGGGTCCCTGCCACCCATGTGGGGGAGCCAGGTGAAGCTGCTGGCTCCTGGCTTCAGCCTGGCCCAGGTCTGGCTGTGTGACCACTTGGGGAACGAACCAGTGGATGCAAGATCCCTCTCTGCTGTCCAAATAAATAAGTAAATCTTTGTCAAGTTGTGAATGTTTGGATACATGACTGGAATGAGGCAGGGAGGGAGGAGAAGGAGGGGGAAGGCAGGACTTGGCACCCTGTGCAGTTATCCTAGTTGTGATTACAGGTACTATGGTCGAGAGGTGACAGGACGATGGGGTAGAAGTTCTGTGCAGACACAGTTACTAGGGTGCACGTCACTCACTCTGGTGTCAGCTTCCTTTATTCAGGCTAGATTCGTGCCAGGAGCAAAAAGAAAATAAATTTTATTTTTAAATTTAAGTAAGATCCCAGTTTTTGAAGATGGAAGGGGAATCTAACTGAGCCAAGGGAGAAGCTGCCAGCCCCCGCGCAGCTCCCTGGAGAATCTTCACAAGGAATCAGCTGGCGGAAGGGGAAACGTGGCCGTGGTGGCCTCTGGGAGCAGCTTGTGCGACTGACAGGAGGTGCACTGCGTGTCCCCAACAAGCGGTTTGGGTGGTGGTGTTTGCGAGGAATGGGGTCAGAGGACAAGCTCTCCTGAGATGCTTAGGGTGCAGCTGGTGGCTCCTGACGTTTGAAGTGGTGAAGGATTTGGTACTCAGCTGAAGTGTAGACACAGTGACACCTCGAAAAACAGCTGTCACAGGAGACGTTAAGACAGAAGCTTTGCCGGCGCCGTGGCTCACTAGGCTAATCCTCCACCTAGCAGCGCCGGCACACCGGGTTCTAGTCCCGGTCAGGGCACCAGATTCTGTCCCGGTTGCCCCTCTTCCAGGCCAGCTCTCTGCTGTGGCCCGGGAGGGCAGTGGAGGATGGCCCAAGTGCTTGGGCCCTGCACCCCATGGGAGACCAGGAAAAGCACCTGGCTCCTGCCATCGGATCAGCGCGGTGCGCCGGCCGCAGCGCTCCGGCCGCGGCGGCCATTGGAGAGTGAACCAACGGCAAAGGAAGACCTTTCTCTCTGTCTCTCTCTCTCTCTCACTGTCCACTCTGCCTGTCAAAAAAAAAAAAAAAAAAAAAAAAAAAAAAGACAGAAGCTTTAATCTCCGATGAGCACTGTGTTTCCAGCAGGCCATCTGAGGGCTACGAGATCAGCTCTGTGGAAACAGAATCGTAACAGCTGCGTCTTACTCTTACCACAAGGACCCCTGTGCGAGGTGACGAGCCCCCCTCGAGAGGCCGCACACGCAGGTCAGGGTTCGTGGGGGCATCTCTCAGGGAGAGCCCTCCTCGGAAGCTGAAGACTGTTCTCCCATAACCAGGTGAGCACCCGTGGGACGTGTGGCCCGAGACTCCCAGGCCCGGCCGTTTTCATCTTTCCGCAGCCCCGTCAGGTCCTCCTCTTTCCTGACGTCATTCAGACTCTGGCCGGAGCCTTCCTGGCTGAGACCGGTTTGTATAACAGCCGTGGCTCAGGCCCCTTCACGCCAGAGGAAGCGGGTGCTGGCCCCAGCTCAGCCCCTGCGTGGGCACGTGGGCGGGCAGGTCCTCTCTCCAGGGCCAGCTCCTCCGCTGTAGGAAGTGCAGGGTCAGCTCGTGGCCTGGGCGGGGCTGTCACTGTGCTCAGTCATTGGTTCATTCACTGAACACCTGCTGTGAGAGCCCAGCCGCTGAGTGCTGCTGACAGTCTGAGATGGTCAGGCCAGAGTCTCTGTGCCCAGGAAGTCCGCAGGTGCCTCCTCGGGTGTTGAAGAACCGTCTTTCTGCTTGTCAAGGCATTGCGTCCCTGAGAGGTGTGTGCCGGGCACAGCTCTGCCTCGGGAGTTCAGTGATGAGTACGACCAGGCCAGAGTTCCTGCCTGCTGGTGTTGGGGTTCCAGTGGAGAGGGAGCGCCTAGGCGAGTAGCCACGCGAATAAATGGACGACCCCAGCCACCATGATGGAGCGCAGGGGCTGGGGGCTCCTGGCGGGAGGATTTGTCTTACGGAGGGCGGACATGGCGCCGTGGGCAGTGAGGGAGGGGCGGGGCTTTGACGTGCAGGAGGCACCGTGCCGGTCACCCTAGCCCCCTGCAGCTCCCCAGACAGGACTCTCACCGGGACCCTCCCAGGGCCCTGAGGCTGCAGGATGATAACGTGTTCGACGGGACCCAGCACCACGCTGCAGAATCACATTTCTGTTCCATTTCTAAGAATAACTTTGGAAGGAGATGTACTATTTTGGTTATAGATTTTTAACCGTGGAGAAAGAATGAAAACAACTTGGAGGCTTTGACGGAGTCTGGGCTCCCAGCATGCCCTGCGAGGTGCCCAGTCACGCGGCTCTGAGACCCAGGAATGAGCCTGCTGCAGGATCAGATGACGGCGGCCTGAGTCCGGGGGTGACGGAGGCTGAGATGTCCCTGGGCTGGTCCCCTGATGCTGACACGCGAGAAGAGGGCCCCGAGCACGCGAGCAGCCCTGGCATGGAAAGGCTCTCTGTGTTGCCTGCTTACTCCACGGAAGCCGCGGGCCTGCCCGGGGGCCGGGCCGCTGGCAGTGCTTCCGCAGCCCTCCTGGGGTGGAGCGGGGTTAGCTCCGTCTCAGCCCCAGGCCGCAGGATTCCTCCTCGATGCTGACCGAGGCAAACGGGAGGACAGAAATAACCCATTGACTGTTTAAAATGACGCTGGCCAACACTAATAAACCATGGCCACCCTGGCCCAAGGTCAGGGTCTTCATTTGCTGGAGGCCGTTCAAGAATTCGGAACTCAGAGCTCTGAGCTAATTTTTCACATCTCGCTTGGATCCTCGGAGCGCTCGCTCCCAAGGCAGGGCCCTCGATGTCTCACTGCACATGTTATTCTTGTTGGCGTGCCAGGCCTGCCGGAGCGCGAGGGCCTCGCTTCATGGGTGGGTGACGGTGATTCCCCCGCCCCAGTTCAGATTTCAAAGCACCGCGGCCTGTTGAGATTCGGGATAATTCTCTGTTATGCTGTGTTAGCTGTGTTAATGGCTGTAAACAACAAGAACATGCTGGTTCATTTAGGCACGAAGGGGAGTTGTTGGGAGGATACGGGCTAGTTCTGAGCATAGACAGGCGGCTAGGGAACCACCTTGGGCGGGAAACGGGAGTCCGGCTGCACCCCTGGGCTCTCACCTCCTCTGCAGCTACTGACATGGTCCCAGGGCACCTGTCTCTGCGCAGCCCTCAAAGTTCACAGCCCCAGGCGGGAGTGTGCGTCACCCTGGTAAGGCCATGGGACCACCCTCAGACCACACGATTGTACTGATTCGTGACCCACACCCTAGTGACCTAGAGGGGGGGAGGGAGGGGTCGCGCGCTTGCTGCCTCTTCCACCTCGTCTTGGGAGTCCCGGGACAGGGAGGGATCGGGGTACCGGGCAGCCAGAAACAGCCACGGCCGCGCCAGCCTCCCCTCTGCAATCACACCTTCCACCTGCTGATCGCCCGTCGGCCGCCCACGTGGACTTCTTTTGTCCAAAGCACAGACCACGTGGTAACCACCAAGCTCACGTGCGCTTTGTCAGCCTCAGCCTGGTCTCCTGGGCTGCCGCCTCCCTGCATCCCCTCACCCCTCAAACACCCACAGTCCTACTTCTGTTGTCTTCCAGCTACGGCCCGTCAGACCACTGCCCACGTGTGCATCTGCACCTGCCTTCACTGCCGCTCCCCGCCCCATGCCCGTCCTGTGGGTCACCAGGCTGGCCCTGCGCCCGTCTCCCGTCCTGTGGGTCACCAGGCCGGCCCAGGGCCCGTCTCCTGTCCCATGGGTCACTGGGCCTGCCCAGGGCCTGTCTCCCTTCCTGTGGGTCACCAGGCCAGCCCAGGGCCCGTCTCCCGTCCTGTGGGTCACCAGGCCGGCCCTGCGCCCGTCTCCCGTCCTGTGGGTCACCAGGCCGGCCCAGGGCCCGTCTCCTGTCCTGTGGGTCACCAGGCCGGCCCAGGGCCCATCACCATCACCTGTCCTGTGGGTCACCAGGCCGGCCCAGGGCCCGTCTCCCGTCCTGTGGGTCACCAGGCCGGCCCTGCGCCCGTCTCCCGTCCTGTGGGTCACCAGGCCGGCCCAGGGCCCGTCTCCCGTCCTGTGGGTCACCAGGCCGGCCCAGGGCCCATCACCATCACCTGTCCTGTGGGTCACCAGGCCGGCCCTGCGCCTGTCTCCCGTCCTGTGGGTCACCAGGCCGGCCCAGGGCCCGTCTCCCATCCTGTGGGTCACCAGGCCGGCCCAGGGCCCGTCTCCCGTCCTGTGGGTCACCAGGCCGGCCCTGCGCCTGTCTCCCGTCCTGTGGGTCACCAGGCCGGCCCTGCGCCTGTCTCCCGTCCTGTGGGTCACCAGGCCGGCCCAGGGCCCGTCTCCCATCCTGTGGGTCACCAGGCCGGCCCAGGGCCCGTCTCCCGTCCTGTGGGTCACCAGGCCGGCCCAGGGCCCGTCTCCCGTCCTGTGGGTCACCAGGCCGGCCCTGCGCCCGTCTCCCGTCCTGTGGGTCACCAGGCTGGCCCAGGGCCCGTCTCCCGTCCTGTGGGTCACCAGGCCGGCCCGGCGCCCATCACCTGTCCTGTGGGTCACCAGGCCGGCCCGGCGCCCATCACCTGTCCTGTGGGTCACCAGGCCGGCCCAGGGCCCGTCTCCCTTTCTGTGGGTCACCAGGCCGGCCCAGCACCCCTCTCCCATCCTGTGGGTCACCAGGCCGGCCCTGCGCCTGTCTCCCATCCTGTGGGTCACCAGGCCGGCCCAGCGCCCATCACCTGTCCTGTGGGTCACCAGGCCGGCCCTGCGCCCATCACCTGTCCTGTGGGTCACCAGACCAGCCCAGGGCCCATCTCCCATCCCATGGGTCACTGGGCCAGCCCAGGGCCCATCTCCCATCCTGTGGGTCATGGGCTGGCCCGGCACCCGTCTCCTGTCCTGTCTTCATTGCTTCCTCTCTAGTGGGTCCTTACAGGTGGCGTGCATGTAACCCCATGATTCTCCTTTAACAGACGCCCTCCCCTGAGCCCTCTGCCCGCCGCAGCCCCGCCCGCCCCCGGCCCCCCTGCACAGCAGTCTCCCGAGTAGCTGTCTGCGCCGCTGTTGGGTTTAGTGTCCTCCTGCGTCTCCGCAGGCGCCCGCGGCACCGCCCTCAGGCATCTCCCAGGGTCACAGCGACCTCCGACCTCCGACCTCCGGAGGGCTGGCTCCAGGGCACTTCTGACTCCTCCTCTTGTCCTGGCCCATCTGCCGGTTTAACAAGCTGGCCACCGCTTCCCTGAAACGTGACCGAGGGGACACCGTCTGGTCTCGCCAGCCCCTCCTGCTCCTGGGAAATCTCTCCGGAGTCTACACTCGCTCCCCTGCTCCCTCCCAGACCTCTGCTCTGGCCCAGACCCTTCCGCACCTGCGGCCTCACGCGTCCACCTGCCCCAGTGTCCCCATCGGAGCCCGCTCGGCGCTGGTTGTCTCTGGCAGCCCTTCCCTCCCCACGGTCTCTCCCGCCCCAGACCCTGGAGCCATCCTGGCCTGCTCTTTGCTGACAGCCTCGTCCAGGCCGGGAGCGAACGCCGTCGGCACAGCTTCTGGAACATCCCCAGCCCCCAGCACTGGTCTCTTCGCAGCCTCGGTGCTGCCCCACCCCCCACCCCCAGTCTGCGCTTTCATCCGCCCACACCTCCTGGCCACGCCCCCCGCCCTGCCCCGAGCACTCCCCACCCGTCCACCGCACAGCGGCGTGGGGTGGAAGTCGGCTCCTGCCTGTCTCAGGCTCCACTCGGAGAGCACACGACGGCCCTCAGGGTCGGCCCCCATGCCCTTGACCTCTGGAAACCCGCGTCTCCCATTCTCCCCCCCCCCGCCCTTCTTGGGTGCCAGGCACATGCTCACCCCCGGGCCTTTGCACTGTTAGCTACCTACATAGCTGGTCCCCTCGTTCCTCCGGGTTGCTCCTGAGAGGTCACTCACTAGCGAGGCTGCCCTGTTGGCTTACGCGGCACCCACGCCCTCCCGGCCAGGTGCTGTCTGTCCCCGCGCTTTGCAGGTTTCTCTCTAGCGGGCTCACTGCGGTGTGACCTTTCTGTTGGCTTCTTTGTTAGTGGCTCCTCTCTTCCTGAAGCTGTGAGAATTCTGCAGTTTTCTCAGAGTGTGACGCAGGGGCTGGCGTGTCACAGGTGCTCCGAAATAATAGAATTAATGTGTTCACGAGTTACTTGTGTAGGCTGTGGAATGGCGTGTGGCTCACCGTCAGCCGTGGGACCCCATGGCCTCCCGCCTGGCCGGCGAGACACGGCAGAACCCTGCGTCCGAGGCCCGCTGGAGCTGACGCGCCCCGGCCACGCGGCTGGTCAGCGGGGCTCCTGGGACTTGAAGCTCTGGTCCCAATTCCTTCCAGCCCTGACACTGCTTGAGTGCCAGCCTCAGGGACTAAATGCTGATTGCTTCTCCTCGCAGCGTGGATGAAAAGACCCCGTACCTGGCTCTGGGGGCTGTGCGGAACATCTCCCTAAACATCTCCATCGCCAACCTGGGGGACGACGCCTACGACGCCAACGTGTCCTTCAACGTCTCCCGCGAGCTCTTCTTCATCAACATGTGGCAGAAGGTAAGGCGGGCGCCCTGCGGCTGCCCCGTGCCCTGCGTGCTTCGCCCATGGGCTGGGACAGGCGATGTTTCCACAGGGACTGTGCCACTCCGTGGGGTATCATTTGGCATTAATGGGCTTTTTCTCCCATCGTGGACGTCAGGAGTAGGCCGGCGTAGCCAGTAAAGGAACAGTGTTCTAGAGAATTCCGCCTCTCGGTCAGTAAGTGCCGCGTCCTCAGTGGGTGAGGAGGGCAAGGCTGGGACAGTAGGACATGGCGGAGGGTGCGGACAGATGGCGAGTTCAGCTCACCCACGGCAGCATCGGGGAGGGCCGCTGCGGCCAGATTCCTTGTTCTTCAGTAAAAACAGCAATCCTCATTGTCACGTGAACCCTTGGGACTTTGGCAGCTAATTAAGATGTTTTCCGAACGTCGTTTGAGCCAAACAAAACATGTCCACTGACCGCAGCCGCCTGCTGTGCTCCGTATGTGGCAGCCCGGCTTGCCTGCCTCTCGCGTGGATCTGCGCTGCTGGTGGAACTTAGTCTCTCTCGCCTCTCACGTCCTTCCCGCAGGTGGCGCTGGGGCAGGTGTGCGAATGGGGAGTGAGGAAGGCCAAGTGCCCCGCAGTGTCTGTGGACCTTCAGCTTGGGGTCTTGCACACATTGTGGGGAGTCGGGCGGGGGTGGGGGGCGCTGTGCTGTGCAGCCGCGGGAAGCATCGCTGAGCTGGGGCGGGGGCTGCGCTGTGCAGCCGCGGGAAGCATCGCTGAGCTGGGGCGGGGGCTGCGCTGTGCAGCTGCGGGAAGCACCCCTGAGCTGGGGGGGGTTGCACTGTGCAGCCGCGGGAAACGCCCCTGAGCTGGGGGGGGGCTGCGCTGTGCAGCCGCGGGAAGCATCGCTGAGCTGGGGCGGGGGCTGCGCTGTGCAGCTGCGGGAAGCACCCCTGAGCTGGGGGGGGTTGCACTGTGCAGCCGCGGGAAACGCCCCTGAGCTGGGGGGGGGCTGCGCTGTGCAGCCGCGGGAAGCATCGCTGAGCTGGGGGGGGGGGGGGCGCTGTGCTGTGCAGCCGCGGGAAGCATCGCTGAGCTGGGAGGGGGGGCTGCGTTGTGCAGCTGCGGGAAGCACCCCTGAGCTGGGGGGGGTTGCACTGTGCAGCCGCGGGAAACGCCCCTGAGCTGGGGGGGGGCTGTGCTGTGCAGCCGCGGGAAGCATCGCTGAGCTGGGGGGGGGGGCTGCGCTGTGCAGCCGCGGGAAGCATCGCTGAGCTGGGGGGGGGGCTGCGCTGTGCAGCCAGGGGAAGCACCCCTGAGCTGGGGGGGGCTGTGCTGTGCGGCCACGGGAAGCACCCCTGAGCTGCAGCTGGGATGTTCTCCGAGAGAAGTGCAGTGCGGGGAGTGGAGGGGCGCGTGGCTGCGCCGCTGGCTGGTGCAGACTGGACGTTGCTGCTGTTTCCTGAGGTCGGGGTGACTGGGAACCAGGGGGCTCCTGTGTGCGCCTCGCGCCTGTGAAGTGGCTCTGTGCTGAGGACTGAAGGAGCCCGCGCCGAGCCACTGGTGCACGCGCAGCCCCACGCCGGAAGGCCCGTGATCCCCCCCACCCCGCACTCCAGGACAGGCTCCGTGGATGCCCGGTGCCTGCAGGCAGCAGGCGCCTGAAGGGTCCTGCTTATGAATCTTCAGCCTTGCGATGGGCAAGTGCTCCCTGCACGCAGCGCAAACCCTGCCGTTGAATCCTGAATCCAGGTCTGTCCCCGGCTGATGGTGATGGTGTGCGCGATGGTGCCTGCTCAGGCCAGGCGGCGGCAGGAGCACAGCTGGGGCAGGCTGGGGGCACGCGCGTCTTCCTCCCGGAGTACCCACGTCACCATGGGCTTAGCGGGCTTAGCAGGGCGTAGTCTCGTCAGAGCTTAGGCGCCTCTGCGCACTGATCAAGATTAACTGCCCAGGGGATGCAGGATTGTAAGACGCTGTACAATGTGAGTGTTAACATTTTTTAAACCAAAAGATCAAGACTCATGGTCTTAAAACAGGATTGCAAGAGAGAGAGAGGGAGGGAGAGAGAGAGAGTGAGTTTGTCTGCATACTGTTGAAAACAGAGGCAGTTTTATATTGAGCTTACTTTTTTTTTTTTTTTTGACAGGCAGAGTGGACAGTGAGAGAGAGAGACAGAGAGAAAGGTCTTCCTTTGCGGTAGGTTCACCCTCCAATGGCCGCTGCGGCTGGCACACCGTGCTGATCCGTAGCCAGGAGCCAGGTGCTTCTCCTGGTCTCCCATGGGGTGCAGGGCCCAAGCACTTGGGCCATCCTCCACTGCACTCCCAGGCCACAGCAGAGGGCTGGCCTGGAAGAGGGGCAACCGGGACAGAATCCGGCGCCCCAACCGGGACTAGAACCCGGTGTGCCGGCGCCGCAGGTGGAGGATTAGCCTAGTGAGCCTCGGTGCTGGCTATTGAGCTTACTTTTTGCACTCAATGAATTGCCTTTATTTTAAAAAAGAGGAGTTATGTAAAGCTTAGTAAATGCCAGTAAATACAGAGTTCATGGGAAAATGGAATTAAAAGTTAATGCAAATTTCCACGAATTTTTTGAAGCCTGCCATGTCAGTTAAATGGTTGTGCTGGCTTTTATTTTGTGTGTGTGTGCTGGCTTTTGTAACTCAGTTTTTGCTTTTAATAACTCTGTGGTGGTGTTCCTCATTCATCGCTTAAGTATTGGAGTTTGGGGCTTACAGATACTGACTTTTAAGATTTTTTTCTCTCTATTGGAGGGGCAGAGAGAGCTGGCTCACTCCCCAGATTGCAGCAATGCATTGGGCTGGGTGGGAGTTGGGAGCTGGGGACTGGATCAGCACGGTCCCCCACATGGGTGACAGAAGCCCATCACCTGGGCCATCACCACTTTTCCCAGGATCTGCGTTAGCAAGAAGCTAGGGTTAGGAGCCAATGCCGGGAGCCCACCCCAGGCGCCTGATGTGGGACGGGGCTGGGAACTGAACCCCCGACCCACCAAGGCGTCTGGACAGGCTATGGAGCCCTGGGGCGCTGGCAGGCACAGGAGTTGCCAGAGGGGCTCAGGCACCTTTGTGCTGAGTCTTCCGCTCCGAAACTGCACCTGTGCAAGCGGACAGCGCCCACCGCATCCGCGGCCCCACGAAGCCAAGCCTGGGCCCGACGCCTGCGCCCTGGCCCCGTGTGAGAGCAATGGGAGACGGCTCCTCTCTGCCGCCCGGCAGGAAGCTTCCTTGTGTTCCATCTGTCAAGTTAATAGTCGCCCCGAGTGAAGTGCAAGCCTTAACGTTCACAGTCCATCAGCCAAGCCATTAAGATGATGAATGGGACTTGCTGCCTCCCCTCTGAAGACAGCCGGAGGGTGGATATCAGGGCCTGAGAACAATCAGTCTCTGCCTTGGCCGCCCCCTTCCTGTCTTTAATCCGGTGCCCCCAGCCCCCGGTGACTTCCCCGTGAACTTCCTGCCCGGAGCCAGGCAGACAGCCTGGGCCTGGCTCTCAGCCCGGTGTCCCGGGCAGCCCCTCCGCCTGCCACAGGTGACTCCCAGTCCCTGGGGCCTCTGAGCTGCTCCAGGGAAGGCTACACGCCCTGAGCCCGCGCCCGGAACCCCTGACCTGCGCCACCTGGGACCCTGTGCTGGCTTTCCTGGCTCAGCGGAGAGACCCCAGGGTGGGCAGAGGGACGCTGGGCCCTTGCCCGGGCGGTGAGCAGCGAGAGGTGCTGGAGAAGCCCCGTGTCCACCCGTCTCACGTCACGGCGTGGCCCCTGTCTTCAGGCCGGGAAGCGCTGCACCTGCGTATTCGGGGAGCTGGAAAGGAGGGCGGGGTTTAGCTCTAGAAGTGATGCCGCGTGGTCTCCACGGGACTCGGCGAGGGCGATTCCAGAGCCACAGGACTCCCAGAGTCTGCGCCAGGATTTCAGAAAATGTGCTGCAACTCAGGGGTTTTGTTTTGCTTGTTTTCTGAATAACTGCAAAGCAGCGATTGAGTGATTTCCGCCTGTAAGGGACACGGAGGAGCCTCGGCTCTTTGGTCTGTTTCCTGGAGCAGCGTAACACGCGAAGCAGAAAGTCCTGGCTAAAGCAAGCAGCAGGCTTGTGAAAGTCCAGGAGAACCTGGGCTGGGTTTCCCCGAGGCAGGTGCACAGGCCAGAGATGCACTCCCAGGGAGGCAGGACAGCCCCAGGCACAGGCCCTGCCCCCTCCTGCGAGGGGGCCAGACGTCTGTCCTCACACCAACATCAGTCACCAGTGAGGGGCCCCTTGGGGAAGAGTAAAGCCCCAGGCACTGGGCACCCTCTGGGGATGAGAGGGAGGCTGCAGGAGCCCGAGGACCCAGGGGTGCTGGCTGTGCTTAGCAGATGCCAGTGGAAGCCAGGGTGGCCACGGCCAGGGCGTCCGGGGAGATCTGGGTGTTTGGCGCTGGGCTTGGCGTGAACTGGTGTCCTTACGTTCCGAGGGCGGCTTGCAGGAGTCTGCGTGAATTCCCAGCGCCTGCGGCACGCATCTGCACTAGGGAATTGGCGTAGACAATTGGACTTCAGCAAGCCGGTGCACAACGGAATCCAAAGACACCTTCTTTTTGGTGCAAAACGTTTTGGAAATCCATGCGTAGGTTTTTCATAACACCCATTTCCGTGAGCTCTTTGGAGACTCCTCGTAGGCCTGGATTTCAAATGCTTTGCACCAAAGCGAACTTACCTGGTAATTCCATTTTCTACACGCTGTTTGAAATTGCCTTGAATAGATGCCCAGGGAGTTTAGCAGAGAGCAGGCACGCACAGCCACAGTCTGCTGTGGCCAGCTGGCCAGAGCGGTCCGGCCACCCCTTTGAGGTCAGACTTCGAGAGGGTCCAAGGCTTCCTTTCCTGGCTCCCATGCCCTGTGCTGGCCACCGGCCTGGTTCTTACTCAGGCGTCTGAGGATTAGTGAGCCTGTCCTGCTCTGCAGGGCAGGTGAATTTTTAACATCAGTTAGGAATAGGTTTGGCTGCGGGCAACCGAAAACCCAAGTGTTAGCAGCTGATCCTGGTGGGATTGTGGTGCAGGATGCCAAGGATCCCGTTCCCTCTGCCTTCCCTCTCAGCCCGCATTGCTCCTTGGCTTGTTGGCAGCATCACAGCAGCATCCGGGCAGCAGAGAGGGAGGCCAAGCACAGACGGGCAGCAGAGAGGGAGGCCAAGCACAGACGGGCAGCAAAGAGAGGGAGGCCAAGCACAGACGGGCAGCAGAGAGGGAGGCCAAGCACAGACGGGCAGCAAAGAGAGGGAGGCCAAGCACAGACGGGCAGGAAAGAGAGGGAGGCCAAGCACAGACGGGCAGCAAAGAGAGGGAGGCCAAGCACAGACGGGCAGCAGAGAGGGAGGCCAAGCACAGACGGGCAGCAAAGAGAGGGAGGCCAAGCATAGACGGGCAGCAGAGAGGGAGGCCAAGCACAGACGGGCAGCAGAGAGAGGGAGGCCAAGCACAGACGGGCAGCAGAGAGAGGGAGGCCAAGCACAGACGGGCAGCAGAGAGGGAGGCCAAGCACAGACGGGCAGGAAAGAGAGGGAGGCCAAGCACAGACGGGCAGCAGAGAGGGAGGCCAAGCACAGACGGGCAGGAAAGAGAGGGAGGCCAAG